TAGTGTTACTATCAAAGAAATTTGATTCCCCACATCTTAGAGCATAGATAAGAGAGAATTAAAGCTTAGGCCTTTTTTTAGAGGATTCTGTAAAAAAGATTCTTTCTCACCCTCCCTCCCCCCTTTCTCCCTCCCCTCGCCCTGTGTGTGTGTGTGTTTGCTGCTATAGGGTATATAAGGTAGAAAACAAAGGGGTGCAATGATTTTCCTTTGTTTACAGGTTGTGCTAGTGTTGCAATTTTCCTGCATAGACTCTTGCTTGATTTATTAGCTTTCAGAGTCAAGCTCTGCTGTGCTGTTACGTTCTTTGCCATGTAAAGCACCTCCAAAGACCTCCTGCAGTGAAACTCTATTTATTATTCATAGGATTCACTGGGAAAGCTGAAGACGAATAAGACCAGAGCAGTCACTGTAGCCCTCTCAGGTCAAACATTTTGGCTTCTAGACTCCCAAAAGTGACATTCTTCCTGCTTTTTCCACACAATTACTGGAAAACAGAACATAAAATGCTAATTTCTCCTGTTGAAGTACTAGGTAAAAACATAACCAGACAAGAAGCTGGCCTTCTAGGGAAAGGGAGGCATACTTTTAAGTGTTGAGCATTCTCCTTGTCAGGGACTTTGGGTATTGAACTAAGGTTGGCTATAGTCCAGGCACAGTGGACTACTTCGCTAGGTATATGGGAGCGTCTACCCTCATTCCAGATCAGGCCATGCTTGATAATTACTGAGAAGAAATAAGATGCTTGTTATTCCAATACAAATATGACTGTTTCACAAGCAACAAGAACCACATTACGACACTTTCACAGATTCTGTTTTATCTGCCAGAACTTACTTTCTACTGCTTCAATAGATGACGCCAGATGAAAGTGATGAAGTTTGTCAAATAATTGAACTAATCATGAACCAGAAATTTATATCTATACATTTATATCAGTCTTAAACATGTTTACATAAAAGTTAAACATGTAAACTCTACAAGATTTACTTCAGAATATGCTTAGAATGTCTTTAGCATGATTTATCATCAGCAATCTCACAAGCTGGAAAAAGATTCCCCTTCTAATATACACACACACACACACACACACACACCCCCTTTCCATATTTTGTGGAATATGCCTATTTCTCTGCCTATTCCATATTTTTATTGGGCTGTTATTGTTACATTTGTACCTATTTTCCCATGCACATTTTTCTAAATTTACCAGTTTCCAAATTAGATTTACCTGGTTTTGCCAGCTTTGGTCTGGGCAAGAATCAATAAAACTCATCAATTACGAATCCTACTGCAAAGAACTATTGATAATAGACCATTTATTTGCATTTTAACTGTTAACATTATTGGTTTATCTGGCCAGGGCGGCTTATTTTATACTGTGCTGTTGTATTTTAATTTTATATTTATATTTTAATTTATATTATAATTATTTTAATTTATTGATGTGAGCCGCCCCAAGGCTTCGGCGAATGGGGCGGCATAAAAATGTTTTAATAAATAAATAAATAAATATTCCATGAGGCTATGTATTGTGACCCTCTCCAGTTGTAGTTTAATGTAATCCTGGTCCAATGAAATCATATTGGCATGAAAACACCATGAAATTGTATTTGGTCATTATTCTTCTATTATGGGTCTGCATATAAGCTGTCAAATCAAGTCCTTCAGAGGACAATGGATAAACAAAATGTGAATTGTTTTTATCTGGTGGCTCTTTGCTACATTAATGATTACTGTGGGATGTTCTTTATTAGGAGATGAAAACCTTTCTGGATGTTTTATCCAATCAAAGTTGTAAGCTGATTGCCCTTGTAACAATTATGCCGACTTTCTGGGAGTTGCATTCACTGATCAGTGAAGTAATGAAATGAAGCATCATGGTAGAAACAAAGCTAAAGAATTTGTATGAAACTCAAACTCTTATGCCATTTAAAAAGTCAAAGAAGTTTATCTCTGGAAGATATCTAGAATGATTTCCTTTTCAGGTGAACTTTTGTATTTGTTCCTCCAAATGAGAGGAATGACTCTGGAGTATATTTGTCCTTTCAAATAAGAGGAATTGAAAAGATATGTTTTGGTATGTTGTTGTTTATAAGTGTTGGCCCTGGTCCTGTAAAGCATTCTGACATTCACAAAGTGAATTTGTGAAGCATTCTAAGCATTTTGTGGCCTGTTGCGAAGAGAAACTGGAGCAGCGCTAATAAAAAAACTTCCAGTTATGATGTGAAGCATGGGTGTAGTACATCAGATCTTGGGGTCAAATCCAAGATCCCCAGAGTCCCAGTCTCAATCTGGCCCTAAAGGGTTGCCCAGGATATGCCCCTTCTTCTGGCTCCACCCCATTTCCAAATCATTTGATAGTTTCTCAGCTTTTGTGTAGTCCTGCCCCCCATCTTTTTTTCACATTTCAAAGGTTGAAATGCCTCTCTTATGACTTGGCTACCAGCAGAAAGACTTTAAGCTAAAATATACTGGTATCCTACCCCCTTCCATCCCCAGTGAAGCTGCATCTGTGGAACTTCTGAAACTCATCATTTGAGAAACAGCCACTCTGCCTCTTTCATCTACCTTTAGCAAAAAATATTCTGCAAGAGAGACATGTTCTGACCAGGATTTCCCTTTTTGTACACTCCATTTGTGTGGATGTAACTTTCATCACATGAGGGGAAAAAAAGAAATAAAGGAAAAAAAAAACACAGCATTTCTTCAAATGCATGAAATATCTTTGTTGCTTTTGTACATTTGTGTAAAATAGTTGTCTAAAAATACTAGGAACTGGCATTGGCATAAGGACTTGGAAAACACACGTTTGTGTTATTAATCCTCCCCTCACCCAGCTTGGTGGGCTGTGCATTTTTAATGTAGCAAAGCAGCGAAATAGCTGCTGGCTCTTTCAAATCCCAGGCAGCTGTGCTTTCTTCTTTAGAGTTAAACACTGGAGTACAGTTCAACACAGGGATGCATATATCTTACTAGTACATAAGCTGGATGGAGCAAGAAGTGGTATTGCAGTGCAAAGTGCAACAGGACTCAAAAGAATTTGGTGTGCTGGGGAGTTAAGCATAAAGAACAACTTTCTAGAGATGGACTTGATTGTGAAACAAGCATGTCTTTTACTCTCTGACAATGTCTTGGTTTCTTTCAGGAGGTTTATTTGACCATGTTTCTCCCAGTGTGTATCTCTGTATGGGTGAGACAGGGATTTTTTAATACCCCAAAGTGTTAAAATGTGGCTCTCCAGTACAAAATAAAATGTAGCTTTCACATCTTGTACAATCTTGTAAAATGCCTGAAAGATGTCTGGCAGCTATTGGTTTGAGAAGACTGCTGCTACTTTTGCTGTAATGACTCAAATAGCATCCTTGGAAACCATGATAATGGGATCAGTTTTGATGCTATGGTTAAAGGATGTTATGAAGATCAGTGGCATGGATAGGAATGGCAGAATATGGAAAACAGTGCAAAGGTTTCAGCAAGACAGGACAGAGAAAAGAGAATATACGAAAGCAAGGAGGAATAAAAGTACAAGCAACTGAGAGTTAACGTGATTATCTTCAGGTTTACTGGAACAAAGCATTTATACCCAACAATGTCTTGTTTAAAACTGAACTGGATAAGGAATAGAACAAGTACACTTAAAGCATTTTTAAGGCTCTGAGACTCAAGGTGGTCAGGACAGGATGGCTATTTACCTACTTCCAAGATGCATTGTTTCTTCTTATTAAATGAGCCATGAAATAAAATCATAGGCTATCACATAAATATTGTTGAAATGAATGTATTAAAATAATATGTTTGGATTTTAAGGCAACTAAAAGGTAAATTCATAGAATAGTTACAGATTATTATGTCAGCTGTGACTATATCAACAGTCAAAGTTGCAATAGTATCACTGTGGCCTTTCCTGACCAGTCTTCAGCATGGTCCTAACTAAGGCTGTATGCACATTGCAAAATCCATTCTGTCTGCTATTCAGAGATTGTCACACACTCCAAAAGGTGCAACTCCCCTCACAGATCTGCATTTTCATACTTTAGCCTGTGGGAAGAAATGCATATTTTGGGTTGGTGTCTTTATATTTTCTGTATTTTTCTATGACTAAATTTGCGTAAAATTACAGAACATAAAAATAGTCTCGGGACCATGGAATCCATACAGCTCAGCTAAAGCCAATCCACTGCAGACTCCCTGTTTCTTACACATTTGAGCTCAGTTAAGTCCATTGGGGGTTTTGTTAGCATCTTCAGCTGTAGCAGCCTCAGTTTCTCCCTTCAGGGTCCACAGAATGGGAAGGTGCTTTGCATTGGGTTTCTTTCTCCATTTAGCCCGTTCTTGTCAACTCTGACAGGCAGCAGTTTCACAGAGTCTCAGACATGTTTCACACTACCTGCTAAATGGGGGCATAACAGAAATTACAATACATCTAGCAGTTATGAATTTTTAATATTGTTATGTCAGAGTCAGTGCAGAGGCCCAATCCAGATCTTAAAATCCCCATGTAAGGGTCCCTACTCAGATTGGAGGCCATGTGCCTACCCTCAAGCAAAAGAAGTTACAGCTACTCTGGGTATGGATTTAAAGTCATGTCTGGTATTTGCCCTCAGCTTTTTGACTGGAGATGCCATGAACTGAACTTTGGACCTCCTGCATGCAAAACAGGTATTCTGTTTTAAGTTATGGTCCCTCAGTGAAGGTAGAAGTTGCAAAGGGCAAATAGCAGACTATGGCTCTGCTGACTTTGGCCTGCATTTTTAAGTGGCTGTTAAGCCCTAGGCAGAAGAAACAAACAAGCTCCAATTTGAAGGGTATTTATAGGGGTCATTGCCCTTACATACAGCATCTATTTCTTACTGGGTTCCAAGAGCACATATTGCTAACTAGTACAGCAAAATGAAATTGTATATAAAGAAACTAGTATAGAAATGATTACTGCATGCTATGTGCAAGATGCCTGAACCCCCATCTAATGTTGTTTATTTTTCATTTTTCTCTAATAGTTATGCAAGAAGCAGAAATTTTCTATTTTATCCAGCCTTATACTTCACTGAACATACAAGGAGTGATCGTGTCCCACTTAGGAGAAAACGATGCAAAGGAAGAAAGAACTCAAGTTTATCTTGGGGATTATGTGCCATTATTAAAGGCAGAGGAGTCTTCTGTTTGTACTCTGATAATATTGGCTACTAGAACATTCTGCCCTGGCAAACTCTTGCTGCCACGGGAGGGAGCCATAATGGCCACCGATTTGGAAAGCTTGTGGATTGGGCACATTTATGGAGAAGAAGATTAGTGGCTAGTAGCATTGCTTGTTACGTGCTATCTCTGTTATTGGAGTCAGTATGTTGGGTATACCAGTTGTGGAGAGGCTTGGCAGGTGGAACTCTCGTACCCAACCTGCTTGAGGGATCCTGTGGTAGCTAGTTTGCCTCCCTGTGAGTAGAGTGTTGAATTAGATGGACCATTGGTCTGATTCAGCATGGCTTTTCTTCTGTTCTTATGTATGATTATATTTCATTGTCTCACAAAATTGCCCTGCAATGCAACTACCCACAAATACCATACCACACAGGGGACATTTGGCAAATAACTATGCCTTATTGAATGATTCATTGAAATAGCTAAGTGAAATCAATACGTTCAGAAAAAGAAGGGAAGATACCTAATAGGAGAATGCAATTCACATTGAATTCCCTCTTAGTTTCTGATTGCCTTCTTCTCAATAATGGTAATGAATTTTCTTATGTTTTAGTGTCCAATATTATTATTTCAAGTTTAAAAAATAAGATGAATTTTGTAATATACTCTCCTTTTTAGAAGGGAACAGAAATGAACAAACTGAGAAACAGTCAATCATTAATGGCTACTTTTAGGCCCATTGCCACTTTTCCTCCTTTAACACAGTAGGTCTTTGGTAAAGAGAGGAAAAGTGGAGGGTAATGGAGGGGGGAGGAAATGAAATAGGGGAATATGAGCCTCATCTTAAGTCAGGCCCAATTTCAGGGGACTGAATTCAACAAGTATATGACAGGGGAGATTGGTGTGCTGTGTTCCATGGGGTCGCAGAGGGTTGGGCGTGACTCTGCGACTGAACAAGAACTTGTAGGCCATAGCTCTGTATAAGTCAATGCACCCCAGCTGTACCTACATGACATATGAAAGAAATGGCAGAACAACACAGAAGACCCTGGAATTTAATGGGTTGCCAATAGTGTTGCTTGAGTCTCCATAGAAAGTGAGTGAAAAAAGTATAACCATTCAGGACTGAAGAACAGGTATGGAAGCTACTTCATTCTGTTCCTCTCTATTCCTACAGACTTCTACACATTCACACACCTCACTGTGCAGATAACTCGGAGTACAGAAAAAGCCTATTACTCTGTAAACATGTTCTTCCTCCTTTCTTTGGAGAGGTGTAGCTCCTGACCAAGGGGCAGGCAGGCTGAATGTCTTTTTAAACCATTCAGAATGTTTTTCTCCCCTCTCAAATGGGTGCCATTCAGTGAACACTGCAGATGGAGTTCTTCACAGTGATAAAAGAATGGGATGCTTTTCACTGGTGCTGCTTTTCACTGCTAAAGCCGAGAAACTCAATGAAGCTGATTATTGATTAACTACTCCTTAAATAAACATGAACTGCCGATACTGGCATGGAGTAAGATTTCCAAATGTTGCTAGGCTGGATTGTTAGCAGAACTACAGAGCTGGTCAGAGGACAGCAAACTTAAGAAGGGAGTTCCATCCATAAAAGTGAAGCGAGTGGGAAGAGATTTTTTTGCATTTTTGTTTCACCCCAGCTGGAGGCTGGTTGTGCCATTTTCAGACTTTATTTGGAAGCAACAAGGAGACTTTGAGCAGACTGCAATGGCCCGGGTGTGCAATGGTTACAGTAGGGTACAGAGACACTTTCAGTCCAAGTGCCAATTTCTATTTTGGAGAAAATCTTCCCAGTGGTGGGAATAGCTGAGCCAGAAGGGAGTAGAGCCAAAGGCAAACAGTGTGCTCATCAGGATGCAAAACATGCCATCATATTTTAGCCTAACACACATGCTGTGGTAAATATGCCACAGGATGGGCACATGAAAGACCCTCAGAAGGCCAGGTGTGACCCGTAGGCTTGAAGCTCTGTTATCCAGGTCAGCTCATCCAATTAGGACTAGGGAGAAATAGGTTCAGATCACTATTCCACAGCAAAGCTCAATGGATGACTTTGGGCAACTTATGCCATCCATGCCTAAACTTCCTCACAGGGTTGTTGTGAGGATAAAATAGGCCAGAGAAGAAAGCACTGTTTTCATGGACCTTGTACAATTTTCCATTTGCCACTTTTTTGCTACTGAACATTTAATGAGCTTTGCTTTGCTCTAGGCTGCAAGTACGAGAAGCTGAGATGGGAGTGACTTAGATGGCAGTACCAGTCAGACTTATAAATGACTCCTGAGCCTGAAAGTCTGATTTTCTAAAATCTGTTCTTAGTGTTGGGATGTATCTAAGTCTTCATGTGTCAACCACTTTGGATATCAAAAAGACAATAAAAAATAATAGAACTGCATAGGTTTAGACTAAATGATATACTCCTGTAACGGGGTAATTAAACACAGTTTTTAAGAGTAGGCATAAAATATTACAGTTGCTCAGGTGACCGGGCAGCAAATGAGAGTTGCTTAAGGTCCTGGAGAGTTATGGCAGTAGTACTGGGCTTGAGGATATTTGACTATGGGTTAGTATAAATGCCACCCTTCTACCATCACCAGCTCCAGCTCCATTCAGGCAGATGAAGGTTTTCCAAGGTCTTGGGAAAATAGGGAGACTAAGTCTGTAGTTCTGTGATATATATTGACTTTCCAATCTGCAGAGTGCACAGTATGAGAACATCAAAAGGTTCCTTATTTCACATTGATCTCTTTGTCAAAATCCATCCAACCGATTGCAGAGAAAGATGGTTTTTCCAATGTCACTGGTAGCCTCAGTCTGCTCCTTAGGACTAAAGGCACACTTCTTTCTCCTTTCTTCTGCATTCTCATTAGTAATAAATACACACAGATGAATTATTTCTGCACTGATACTTGGACAGTCACACCTTTCGCTCTCAGCCTCCTGATGAATGGGCCACATTCTGTTTGCTGCTGCTGTCAGTCTCACACTAGAACTGAAATAAATAGCTCACCAATTCAGAAATGGTCTCCAGAGCCACCTAGCTTATTTTCCTTGGAGGGCAATACTCATCTCACACAGACTCTACTTCCCTGGTTGTGGCAATCAAAATACCACACTGTAATATACTATTAAACAGATCATAGATAGCATCAGTGGCCTTTAGCTTTATTTAGTATTAATGTGTATAAAAGCCCAAAGTCACCCAGTGAGCCCCATGGCTGAGCAGGAACCAGAACCCATATCTCCCAAGTTATTATAGCTGTATTATATTTATTATGTTTGTAACTTGCCTTTTCCCTTTCTAGGAACCCAAGGTCGCTTACATAATTCTCCCTCTCCCCTGAATTTTATCCTTGCATCAACAACCTGTGAGGTAGGTTGACCTACTAGCTTGTTACAGGCCCACACCCAGTGAGCTCCATGGCTTTGCTGGGACTAGAACCCAGATCTCCTGAGTTCTAGCCCAGCACTCTTAATCTCTATACCATGCTGGTGTTGAAGTATCAATTCGGTATCTTCTACAATATATGCCCATTCAGCAGTGTCACGGTATATTTTGAAATGCAGTGCCCGTCAAAGCAGCCCCTAGTGAGATGCAATGACATTGATCCATATCAGCAGGTCTAGCAGTTTTCCTCTCCACCAGAAGCTGGTCTTTTGCATGGTTTAACTGTCGATTCAAAAGTGTGCCATCCCAAAATACTCAGCATTTCATCAGGAAACAATGTATGATTACTGCACAGATTCATTTCCATTTCAGCTAAACTCAGAGGGAACAGGAAATTCTGAAGTGGGTGGCAGAGGTTGTCAACATACCTGCTAACAAAAGTACTGTCAGCACTGCTTCCCAGTAAGCCCTGGTTCCACTACACCACTGATGGAGACAAATACTTCAATTCTAGTATTTCCCATCATAGCTGCACAAAAAGGTTCTGTGTCAGGAACTGAGCAGTCATTTCAGTATTGCCTTCTTCGAATCAAAGAGGCAACTGCTTGTTTACTCTGCCACAGTTTTCTCATTTTTTTTCTAATCACACAACACAATTGGTGCTAACAAAGTTTCTAAATACTCAATTAGTGGGAATCTTTCAAAAGCAGTTGCTTCTGCATTAAATATCAAAGTAGTTTTTTGGCTACTTTGCCAAGCTTTTCCTTAGATTGCTAAATAACTCTTCTTCCATATTTCTAATTATCATAATCAAAATCTGGCAACATTCCATTCACCATTTGTATTACCTCTTTGTTATACTGTTATTCACTGTTCTTCATGTACATCATAAAAAAGCAATTTTCAAAAATGGGTTCATTAATAACCGTGATCATAATGCTCCCGATTTTAATTTCCCTAAGAATGGAATGAATAGAAGCTATATTACTTTTTAATTAACAAGCTGGAAAAAACTGAATGCACAAGGAAGTAAAATGACTTTTATGGCTCAGTTATGAACACTGAAGGTTCCTGGGTACAACATTAATGTGAACTCGGGGATTAATTTATCAGATGTGATACAATTAAAATCTTTAAAGTGCCATCTAAGGATCCTAAGGATGTTGTGCTTAGTGATTGTCTAAGGACACAAGCTAGCAAACAATTATTTTCAGATATCCAGCTTGTCACTGCGAATATCCCATTGATGAAGGCATAAAAAATACACCAAATGGAGACAATTTCCAAAATTTTCTACTCAAGCTCTACCTATCTTGTGTGCATATGTTTCCATAAAATAGCTTTGCAGGAACGTATGAAGTTAATGTTAAAAGCTTTAAGTGGCATTTGATATTTACTGGTAACCTGTAATGTTTTAAAATGGTCATGTGGGAATACTAGACAATCTGAGATGAGCATAGAAACAAGCTGTAGACAAACTTAACCCACTGAGCTCCCTCTTTTAATGCATGCCTATGACCTTTCTTGTGGTTCCATTTCTTAAGAAAACGATTAACTCTGCAT